TAAATAATTGTGGCTATATTTTGGCCACTGTTAAACCACATTTGTCATAATTTGTGAACTATGTAATATTTATATAATATATGTATATAATCACATTTATATTTTTCATATATTTTTAAAGTTCTATATCTCTCGGTTTCTTCAATTTTAGCATGATTGAATTTAACTCTCTCAAATAAATTTACTTATAATTTCGCAAGAAATTTCTATGGCCTAATTTATATCATACACCTTTTTGTACCAAAGTAGTGTGCATCAAGCACTTTAATTCGATTGTATTTATGTCAAGTATATTAAACTTGTTAAAATAGGAAAACATAAAATTTTTGAATAAAGTACAATCAATTAATATAAATTAAACCTATACACAATTGTTATAGAGATAATCAGTGATTCACATTAAATTACAGATATACTAAATTAAAACATTTAAACTGTGATAATTACATATAATCTCTTAATTGTCCGATTAAAACTATAATTAAATTTTCTAAATTTGAGTAAAGATTTAGAAATAAATTATAACCTTATGATATGATAATAACTTATATCTGAGAGAGTTAAAATATACAGAATTGTTTACATGCCAGATTCTTATTTTACTAATAAAATACTTATCTTTGTGATTAGTACTTTTTGATGCACTTTTGTATATAATTATATAGAATTATACAATTGTATATAATTATATTTGTTAAAGCACGACAGGAGAAACAGGAATGTGAAGTTTCCTGGTCGCTTATATTTGACTTTGAGAAAAAATCAATTTTGTATAAAGTATGGGATGTAACAGCGAGAACTTGAATTGTTACATCAATGCAAAAAATAACTTTCAGTCGTTTAAGATAGAAATAGGCTATTTCAAGAATATCATATATACGCATACTTGGGAAGAACATCAATCCGATATACGATAGCAGAACTCTTATTTTCTTAATCGGAATCCTCTTCAACCAATAAAGGGAGCACAGAGGCGTTTTGTGTGCTAAGCAGTCCTTTAGAACATGCATATTCCACTAGAGCAACATGGCAAAAGTAGTACTGATCCGGCATTTGAATACTGTAGGCCCTCTGTGCTCTGATCTTCTCAACAGTTCCTCGTACATCTACAGTTCCAGTATCTTCCAACCGCGATATGCAAATGTCCAAAGTGCAAAATGTACCTGAAACACGCCAGTATTGACGTATACCGTGTGTCCAATTCTTTTTTTATTGAAAAAAATACCAAATACATTCTAGACTATAATTCTGTTTGCAAACATTTGTCTACTTACCTGTTCTTCCAATACCAGCACTGCAATGTACAACTATAGGTGGTCCTCGAGGATGTCCGGCCCATGTATCTCCTCTACTGGTGAGTAATTTACTCTGCTGCTGTCTCACTAAAGACAAGAATTGCAGTAAAGCTTTAGCTGATTTAGGAGTACCATAATCTGGCCATGCTGTGTACAACATATGGCAAACTTCTCTTGTCTCATCAGTCTGAAAGGAAGCAAATATATATATATATGTAAAATAAATATAACAAAATATAATAATGAAAGAATAAAATTACATATATATATGCACACATACCTTTGTGTTTGTAATAAGAAGCGTGGATATTGTGTAATCTCGATTTTTGTCAACTTCGAGAGTGGTTATTGTAAAACCATTCACTTGTACATCATGATTCGCTTCAGGATTCCAGTACTGTGTACACTTTGTACGCCCTTTTTCCACCACTCTGAAAAAAGAAAGGACGATACAATTATATAAAACTGTAAAATTACATAAAATTTCTGTACAATATAAATCGTTAAAATTTACATCAACACGAGACGTCAAATTTATTCTCACACTGAGAATATATGTACAAGTAAAATGATATACCTTGTAGTCATGACAATGACCAGTGTTTGTTGTTCCCAAACCATTCTCCAGAAATCGCCGCAAGTTCTCGGGAGAGGACCTTGAGTGCTGATAAACGCGTTCTTTTGCTTATAACCGTCGACAAAATTGGCGTTTATGTAATCGGATGTCGCATCCCCGTCCACTTGCGAAAGGCAGACCCTGCTATGATCGTAACAAAGCACATCGGTGTATCGATTCTTTGATTGATTAGCCTTTAACCTAGAATAAACAATACCAATATTATCTGCATCAACTTGAGAGAAGAAGAGAGAGAGAGAGAGAGAGAGGCTTTCTCACAAATACAAAATATTACACACTTTGCATTATTAAATGAACCATCCGGCGGTCTCTGCTTAATTTCCATATATTCCGCTGTGTAACCTTCGCGCCCCCGTGATTTTAGTTCTGCTACAAGTTGTTCCATTGTAAAGGACTGAAATCCGGAAGGCTCGCCATGAAGACTATCATCGTCACTAAAACCGGAACTAGCCGAGGACGGAGCCTGAACTGGAGAAGGCGCCTCATCGATTCCCGACCAAACTATCTCACTATTTGCAGTGGTGATTTCGATGTCGGCGATATTCGATATACCATTTTTCGCCTGTTTGTTTTTATCGATTATAGGACTAGTCGGAGTACTGTGCGTCGCAGTTTCATTAAGATTTTGATGAACCATGTCTTCTTTCGTCGTGGGTGACGTGGGTGTATCTACTCTTGGGGCGACCTGAAAATATATAATTCCAAATTATTTTAGTCGAACAATTTATATTAACACGTCGTATCGATACGAAATAAATGATGTACGGCCAATTTAAAATTGTATCAAGTACTGACCTCACAAAGTTCACCCCCACTTCGGTTAGTCATGGATTTAAGACAATGAAGTAGCCATGCTTCATGCTGTATCTCCAACGTGCCGCCTAAACGATGTGGTAATGATTCTCGTGGGATATGCAAAGTCAATTGAGGAATGGATACTGTGAACACTCGGTCCCTCAATTTTTCACGAACAAAGAGTCGAAGAATCTTGAAGGGCGCTTTGAACCACAATGGTGCCGTCACGATCAAGACCTTTTTTAGTTTCGCTGGATAACCACCCTGAAATAATGATGCGAATATAAAATATAAACTTTCATCTTTTTTATATATTATTTATACTTTTTAATCTATTGTAATCGCGTAATAGCATTATAATTTATTATTAAAAGAATTTGATTTATATTCTTCATATATGTATAGCATATTTACAGATAAATTTAATTACTTAATTCTGATATAATTTTAATTTTTTAATTTTTACAATTAAATTAGAATATTAAAAAATAATTATATATATATTACATTAATTAGAGTATCCTTTCTAATATAAATACGAGCAATATTTCCAACCGCACCATCTACGCGTAAATAATTTCTAAAAACGCGGTTGTGCGCTTGACCTTTCAAAGACGTTGTAATAATAGAACAGCATTATACATTAATAAATCGACCGCCAACTATAGACCGATCATTAAACATTTCCTCGACGTCGGGAAACTTTGCGAAAAGCGCACATAAAAAATCAGATACACAGTTAATCAGATTATCGGGTCAAATGATCAAATTATTACAATTGGAGCGCTCCAAAGAAAGAAAGAAAATAACTTCGCGTCTCTCTTTCTTTCACCCCGTGATTTCTCGCGTTAATTGACAAATTACCTATCAGCGATAAAAGCACGAATTTTGTTGTATCAATTACTTCGTAACGCATACAAGGTACAGGAAGAGGCCGACTAACCCCCGCATACAGAGGGCGGATGTACCGTAACGTGCCTACGACGTCAGCGGATCACTACCCCACCACCAGTGCCGTGTGGCACACGTAACAGTGGCTACGTATACAACAAACGTCATCGAGGTGCGAGAGCGCGTAACGAGGACAAGATCCGCGCACTGACGCGATCTTGTTCCGGGAAGGAATCTCAGTTCCGCAAAGCGAGGCGCGTATAATTTTAGGATCGCGCGGGCGCGCGCAAGGTCTCGAATTAGCCGAGCGGCCGCTCCACTTCACTCCCAAGTCGAGCTTAGTCGCGAAACATAATCGAGAAACATAATCCGCCGGGCCAGATGTGCTGGTCGGGCCGATCGATCGATCGGCTGACAGCCGAAATTTACCGTGAGCAGCTGTCGCCGGACATGACAGAAGAGATCGTGGCGGGTCGCATATCAATATTACAAATGATCTCGTCTCTTCAAGGGTTGATCCGTCTTCTCTCCCCTGACGCGGAGGGACGATCCAGTCGCGCGTTGATCGGAGTATGCAATTACCCAGGCACCGGGACTCCAAATCACTGCCGGCACTCGGTCAGTTTAATCGATAGCGCGAGATTAGTATAACACCGCCGAGGCGCACACTTGACGGTGGTTCGTCCTCTTCGTCTTCGTTCTTGTCCCGACGAGGTGGTGAAGAGCGAAAGAGCGGCGGCGACGTCCTCTTCGTCTTCGTGGAAAAAACTCTGGCCTCGCACGCGAACAAGGACGCGATCGAACGCGAAACGGGAAGGGGAGGAGAGAGATAGAGAGAGAGAGAGAGAGAGAGAGAGAGAGAGGAGAATCGGGTCGTTCGTACCGTATCCGACGAGATGCCGCAAGGGGGTCACGATGATACTGACCGCCAGCGTCGCGACGTTTATCCTGAGCGAGGGGACGCATGCGCCGTTTTCCGTTCTACACGCGACCCCTTCTTTTCGCCACCGACATCCCTTACGCGAGATCCTTTTTTTATCGCCAGCAGCGGAGGTGCAGCAACCGGTGACGTATTGGCTACCAGTGTTTCTCAACCGTGGCTTCCGGAGTCGGCGAATCTGATGAAAAAAGCTTCTTCACCACTTCGCGTAATTTATCAGTTAACATTCATGCTGCTGATAAATATTTCCCTGAAGATTGAGTCTTGAAATCTCATCATGTAATAATTTCGAAAATCAACGTCAATGCTGATGCAACCACTATTAGAAAGAAAAATGACGAGAGAGTCTCATTTTTTCATACTGATCAATTCATGAATAAAACAAGTTTCCCCTATCCTTTTTCATGTTGATACTCTTTTTCTGTTAAAATATACACTTTTT